CTTTACTAATTGTGCCTGTATTTCGTTCCTCCAGTGACCAATAAAACTAAATGACAGCGATTCACAACCAACGCCAATTGTGGTGGAGTGGGAGGTCAAATGAAACGTTGGAAGCAATATGAAGCCATTCAAAGGGCAGCTTTCTATGCATAATGTGTACACATAACACAAACATGGCAGTAAGGCACAAAGACGCCTCAGACATGGTTTTGGTTGTGCAGACCCGCACGGCATAGTAACACTGCAGCCATCAGAGGTATTCTGCGTGACAAACGAAGGCGTGGTTTCAACGAGATGACATATTACGGAGACCGAAGAGACGTTCAAATGCGAGAATGAGCACGCCAACATCTGGGGAAAATATGGAGCGAGTAAATGAAAAATTAAATCTTGTGGATTCCAATTGGAAGAAAAAAAAAAACTAATAACTTCAGTACTCGTTTCTCTAAAGGGTGTTTTATAAAACCACCATTTAATCCGTTGTGCAGTGTGGATGGGGAAAAAAATCATGAGATTGAGAGTGTTTGAGAGCGGGGTGATGAGAATATTCAAACCTAACGCTAAATGACAGTTTTTCAAAATTCGTATTACCAGTACGATAAAGTCAAAAAGGCTGAGATGGGCGGGATGAGAAATAAATGCAGAATTTTAGTCCGTAAACCTTAAGGAAAAGTTCAGTTGAGTACATGACAGCAGATGGAGGATAATATTAAAAAGAGATATCTTAAAGAACTAGTGAGTGAAGGTGTGGGCGGGATTCACATGAATGACTGAGTTTTCCAGGTTGTATTCAGTCCCTCCTGGCAAACCGGAATAAGAAGGCTGTGACTAAGAACGTCAGTGGAACGCGTAGTCTGTGTCTTACGGATTTATCTGCCTGACGACACAGATCACAGGTTAGTCGGACGAGAACATCATGAAAGGTTCAGTTACGCTCTGAACATCGATATCAAAATCAGCTCTCGAAAATCTGAACGTATCATTCGATCGGTCTGCTGAGAAGAACTCATACCGTAATCAATAAGTGTAACGGATAAAAGAACTCAATGAATCCAATTCATTAATGGTGTCTCCCATTATATTCAAAGCCTTTCGATATTATCGTATGATTTGCATAAAGAGGTTATCTAAAGATCATATGATCAAACGTCAGTGATCTTAACTCGAGTATTATCGGGGAGGTTAGGAGGGTCTATTACACGGGGTGGGCATACTTCAAATTTCACTTTTATATCGTAGTACATGACTTGTTGCGTTGCGTTGTAAATGGTACACCCTGTATATTCAGCCTTGTGCCGGTCTGTTAACAACTTACCGTAGAAGCTATGAAATTAACGAAATGTTACACATGACATCGGACTTGGCCTCGGTATAAACACAAGCGTCAGGCTCTTATAAACACGGCAGTGGCCCTGTGTTCCATGAAAGGCGGTCTGAATCGACTATGGGCTTGTCGAGCAGTACACGTTTCCACGGCAGAACGGATTCGCCAAGTCGCGTAAGATTTCCGTCCAACTTGTGCGCCAGGACGTCCTACTCACCAGGGTATGGCAAGCAGGTACTGCAGCAGACGGCGGTAGTCGTCGGGTTTGGCTCGCTCGCGACGCGGGGTGGCGGGGAATGAGAGCACCGGACCGCCACGCCGGTCCCTACCGCCGGTTAGAACAGCAATGCGCTCCTGGAGCAGCGCCATCACGTCCAATGCTCGCAGACCGTCCATCCTCCGGGCTCCTGTAACACGACGTAACAACATTGTCAGGCACAGTCTCTCCTGCCTCGGGTAAGGAAGAATTTAGTCATGATAATTAATGGGAAGATCACCTTGTTTCGGCTGCTCTGGTAGCAAATTTAAAACCCACCTGCTGCGTGCGCAAATCTGTAACTGCATACAAGAACGGTAAAGTGTGGCGAGTTTAGCATGAAAACATTAGTCTTGTATACGGACGTGCCACAGTTCAGGCCTTGGTCAATATAATTTTTTTTTTGCCAAAGTGGTATTGTGGGAAGTTTTTGTCCGATGTCAGGTGATACGAGAGTGAATATGGAGCAGCGGAGCATTGATATTGACAGGGGAAAAAACAGAATGACGTCATCGAAGAAAAACCTGCCCCAGTGCCACTTTGCCCACCATAAATCCCATAAGGGCTGGCACGATGTGCTGCACAAATTCCCCAATTTTGATACAGTTTAAATTTCAAATGCATGTCAAACAGCTATTTGCGTGAAGATCTTTTAAGCTTCAATTGAATAAAGTGCAATGAAATTAAATTCACTTTTGTGTGAGTGTGAGAAAAACAGGAAAGAAGAATTCAAGCCTGGATTTGGTAGAAATTGGCGGTCGTGATATTCCCCACCCACGTAATGACCCTGGGATCGGTCGCCTCTTTTTTAAGCAGTCCTTAGATCCCGAGTTTCACATGCCTGTTGTACCGAGTGGGGTCGTTTCGTAAATAACTTACTCCATTGAAATGAGCTTGTTGGATACACAACTTCAAATGGCAGATTCGTAATTATTTTCCTTATTTATATGAATTACTGATCATTCCGTTGTATATTGTAGGACCTGTATTGTCCTACAATTAAATCATGGGCAGAAATCCCGCTTTCGGGCTTTGAAATCTGGTCGGCGACAGTGTCCTTATTTACTTTATAATTTTACTAGGAGAACATAAAAGTAGGGCGACACGCCTGCATTACGAAGCCCTACAAAAGGCATTTACGACGAGGTTACAGTTTCCATTTCACGCCTTCTCAGAATACACTAACACTTTCAAGTCGTTTTCACCTCACTTTCTGGGGTGCAGATCTCGGGGGGGCAAACAGGGGTACTTTCCACCGAAGGTGGATAGGGGGGAAAAGTTTGAAAATGTCAATATAAAATTTCCTCTCTCTTTACATAGTCAATCTCGGTAACAGAGAGCCGCTCTGGGAGTACGCGAGTGTTCAGCTGAACTTACTTTCTTACTTTTTTTTTTTCGATACTTCTCAAAGTTTTCAAGACTGTCGGTCCCACATCCAATCTGTGCCTTTCATTAGTAAAGTTTCAGAGAACAGTGCTCGGTGTTGAAGAAGTACAAACTTTCTCCTTCGTAGTTCTTTGGGTAAAGATGCGATGACTCGTCAGAATAGTATTATGACAGACCCCTGTCCCAAATACGTACAGCAACTCGTCCCAGGGACACTTCAATGGCAATCCGTCTACATACGACGACTTCTGTTCGTTACATCGGGTGTGAGGCACTGATATAACCCAGTGCAGTTACAGCTTTAAGTAAAACAAGGACAGGGAAATCTGCTTCATAATATGTACTCACCACCAAATACCACAAGGACGATAAAACCATGAAGGGTGAGGCGGACAGGGCATGAGGAGACAGAGAAATGCGTTCAGAATTTTAGTCGGGAAACCAGACGTGAAAAAAGGTATATGCGGTCCAGTCCAGTCCAGAGACTGAAGACGGCGCCCCTCGGCCCATGCGTGCGTGACGCAGATACGTTTGTCGTCGTCGAATAATCAATCTCTGGTGATCTCCAATGCCCTGACACAATAGCAAGGCATCGGAACAGCAGACGGAGGACAATGATCTGCATCAGGCACTTGTACTATAACGCCCCGGCAGAATTCTACTCCATGCGACAATAGGTCGGTCAGCCAATACTACTGAATGCATTTCATGGCGACCGACCTCGGAATAGATCAGGAACAGAGAAAGTGCTGGCAGATCACCACCGTCACCAGAACCATAGTCAGTATTAAGACACGCAAAAAAAAGAATTAAAAGATATTTTCTCTGCGCGTTTTGACAAAGCTCACACCAGTTAGTTAATCTTATTTGTCGACATAATCACGTTTTCATTGAATCTGGTAAAACGGACGAAATTTTTCAGACTATCAACTGGGTGTTTGGCCAATTTCGAACAGATATTCGATGTTCCTTCACCTGCCACTTTTTACTCACACGTTCTAAGTGTTTACCGAACTACGTGTTTCGGATGCTTGTGCTCATCTTCAGGTTCGATGGGTCTACGTAGTTACTGAGTAGTTTTAAAAATAAAAAAAAAATTCCCATCATTCTTGTTAGACAACTGTTACGGAATATTTTCTAAAATACTAAGAGTTTGTGATAAAATGTACTGCTTCCAGACACAAAAATTCCCCTCAAGGTCAAATTAAATAACCTTTCCCTTTCTAACGTTATCCGGATTTTCATGAAAATATGTCATTTCGATTAAAACCTAATAGGGTGACGGACATACAAATACGACACCCTAACCTCATATTACCGTACAAACAGCGCTGTTAGGTTATTATAAGTGTTTTCAGCGGCTCGTGAACACAATCACAGAACATACTCTCGCGTGTTGTTTTGAAAACCATCCTGCTTCGTGTGTGCTGAGTGTTCCGGGCAAACTAAGAGCCACTTCCTGCGTGTGTTCACAGCAGGTATCAGCGAGGCTGTTAGTGGCACAGTGATGAATATATTATTTATAGCTTCAGAACATTAGACAGAGTGCACAGTCTCTTCCGCTACATCTCACCATCAAGGATCCCCCCGCCTTACGAGCAAAAAAAAAAACGCTTCCAAAATTAAATAAGTCAACACACATTCCACATAAAACACATCGTGCAAACTTGTTTTATCAATGTAAAATACAAGTAACGCTTTGTGGTGTAATATCTGTGGTGTGAGCGGCTTCAGATGTCTGGGTTTCTATTTGCAAATAACAGATTAAGAGATGGCTGTCTTCTGGGTTGTTGCGCCGTGAAGTCTGGTAGAAGTTTACCGACGTTTCGGAGGTCCTTGTTACCTCCATAATCAGGGTGAACTTCTACCAGCCAACACGGCGCAACAACCCAGAAGACATAAATCTTCGGACTCACCGCCCTGAAAACATAAAATCCTAAACAGATTAATACAAGCAATAAATAGACATTTTGGTCAACGGTGAATAGAACACGACAAAGATCAGACATTACAGGAAATAACTGCGAGTGTGTCACACCCTCGTTGCTAACTGAACGCACTACATAAATCAGGTATCATAGCAAATTGACATCTTTAACAGATAAAATATTAAACCGAAGTCGAAAATTAATAACACATAAATACAAAATTCAATATAAAGTATCATGAGGTCTCTGATTCAAATTTCAGCCAAGACATTATCATGCCTCAGAATGTTCATGGTTTTCATCAGTCTCACCCTGCAAATACCGGGGCAGTGCCTCAAATATCCCTCCAAATACGTCACTCAGAAATTATGCTACGCCACTCTATAATTCCTCTGAGTCTTCCACGTTTGTGGAATGCGTATGGAGCAGGAATTTGAGCTGAAGAGGCGAAATTATGAGCGTATCGATTATTGTACTGAGTGGAAATTCTCATAGTACACAACGAAATAACTCGATTTTAATTTATAAAATAATTCTGCAGAGATAATGCGGTGATAACATTATTAGTGTTATCTGAATACAGAGACGCGCATAAGACAGACCTCGGTAGTGCAACACACGTAAAGTTCAATTAATTAAATAAGGTGACCTCAAACATTATGGCGTACACTGACGAACGACTACGAAGCCTCAACACTTCTGTCACTAAACAGGTTCAAACTTGATCTATTCTGAACCAGTTTAATCCAACTTGAGAATTTTACAATTTTAACATTATTCTACAATCTCTGCATTAATCTAAATGGCCGCATTCGAAGAGGTTTAATTTAAAAATTCTAACCATTTTGAATTAACCGCCTTCGGTTACGGTACAAATCACCAAGTTCCTCGTTATGTAATTTTCTACACTCCTCATTTTTAATGCACTTTGTCAGGTTCCTAGGTACTTGTAGTATGACATGTTTTCAAACGGCTTGCTATGGACCGCAAAATTGTGTCTATTCCTTAAATGACCCATACTGTTCATTCCACTTCGCCGAAATAACACAGTTTGCTCTTTTCAGGCCCAACTGGAAGGCATATTTTCATGATATTTCATATATTCATCAATACACATTCGAATTTTTATCAAAACCCGACAATAATAACGAATACTTACAAGCGTTTCCGAGCTCATCTCCAAAGATTCTTACCACACATTCATCAAAATATAAAAAAAAACTCAGCGTTTCCGAGCTCATCTCCAAAGATTCTTGCCACATATTCATCGAAATAAAAAAAAAACTCAGTTGAAAAGCTGCAGAGACAAATACAACACGCGAATGCGCCAACGACTTGCGTACATTTCCATAAAAACAAAAAAAAAACAATAATAGCTCTCGTAAACTTCAAATTGCTCCAGAACGAAACAACTTTCTGCATATTTCATTTTAATTTAATCATAAATTTAGTTCCTCTAACAAAAGCCACAAAAAGTTTTTTTATATTAGTCACAGGTGTTATGGCTGGAACACGGTACACGTTAAGATCTACGTGGTTTTACAACGTACGTAGTTGTAATCAAACCCAAGTGTTGGCCGACAGAATCACGTATAGCTGAGGCCATTATGTTATTAATCCTTTGAACTTATATGAGTTTTACACAAAAGCTGATATCTTTTAATTTATACGGACAGAAGAGACGAGGGCAACTCTTTACAATTGCGCAACACTTATTAAAATATTTACTTTACGTCATGTACTAATTATTTATTAGTACGAGGTGCGATCGGAAAGTTTCAGGACTGCGCGTATAAAAACCCGTACACTTATCTCAGGTATTAAATTCATCCATCACCCTCGAAGTAGTTCCCCTGGGAGTGAACACAACGATCCCAGCGCCGCTGCCAAGCCTGGAAGCATCCCTGGAAATCTTTCTTTGTCAGCCTGTCAAGCACCATCTGGGATCGTTGTGTTCACTCCCAGGGGAACTACTTCGAGGGTGATGGATGAATTTAATACCTGAGATAAGTGTACGGGTTTTTATAGGCGAAGTCTGGAAACTTTCCGATCGCACCTCGTACTTAAGAGTCAGCTAATCTTGTGATGTCATTATTATCCAACGTGCTACACTTGTGTTCGTCGCAGATTATAACAAAACTGTGCAACATTCGCGTGTCCTTCAAACGTCGCTTGGATAATGAGAACAAATTCTGCTGTTCAGTTTCAGTGCATCTAATTAGGGCGAAACAGTTTGAAATTAAGACTGCTAATAAAGGAAAGGCAAGCCCGATAAGCGACTGTCTCACTAATGAAGGAGAGAGAAAAGCCATAAGTTAGAAGAAGTAGAACAACCGTGCCTGTCTGCCTGGCTGTTAATGATCGCAGATCGGGAATTAACTTGCTACAGAACGCAAGACCAGATTTACAACCCGAAGAAAAACAGAGGTTTCATTTTACAAGAAGTCAGAGCACTCACAGTGGTAACACTGGTTCATAAAGGACGGTAGAAAATGATAATTTTATATACAAACTATGAATCTTATCAGCCCATTTCTTTTCGTACCGAAAACGAGTCGTATTCATAATCACGTGTCTCCATCCGTAATACATTAAGAATCAATGATGGATTTTCACGAGATTTAGTGTGAATATCATGCCACTACAGTCTTGCCGCAGTAATTGTTTAATTTCCACCAATTTGATGGCCGTCATAACATGTGATGCAGGGTTGACATTAACGTCATTTAATATAGGGTTCTGATGTGTTATACTGCAGAATGGGAATAAGATTGGTGAGACCAGAAGCACGCAGGGGGGGGGGAGGATATGAAAAATGCATATCAAATTTTGGTCGAAAAAAAAACCTAAATCGACACATCCGCCTAAAAATAAATAGAACACAAACAGCGTGTATATTTTGAAATAACTTCAATTCTGTAATCGGTCTTTAACGCCGAATACGTAAACTTCTTTAATTTTATAAAATTTCAGGCAAATTTTGACGAAGGGAAATAATACCCAAAGAGTTAAGAAAAAAATCTTCGTTTCTGCCCGCGTCACGGACCATGGGGGTCAAAACGCCGGCGTCTCCACGCAAAGTTTGAAAAGCCTTAGTAGAATACGCGACGGACAAAGTGTCACTGTTGTGGGACCTCAAGCTTCTCACTACCAAGCATTATTCCATCAAACTCATGTTTCGCCGCCGCTGAGGTTGTCAGCCAGCGGGTGCCATGCCACGGTCTCACTTACGTCTTCATCTTCGAAATGGCACTTGGCGGGATTCACGGTAAAGAAATCGACTTATTAATAAACCGTTTTCAAAATAAACTCGTTCTTTGGTGTTGAAGATGGCTACCTTATGGGATGTTGAGTCGCGTACTCTCTTAGACCAATGGTATTCAACCTGGGGTACGCGTACCCCCAGGGGTACGCTAAGGGGTACGTGAAATTTAAAAAAAATATATATATTATTTTATGATAAACACTGAATAATCAGTAATGTAATTTATTTAATTTATTTTAGATGTAGATTATATACTATGTATAACTTGAATGATACACCAACAACTTTGGGGGTACAAAGTTGAAGAGAAATTATATCTGGGGGTACGCGAA